TAACACATTTATAAGATTATTTCTTTGTTGCTTTGTATGTCCCTCCCCCACAGTGTAGCCCCTGCTTTCACTGTATTTGATGTTGGTATAATTTGTGGAGGGGAAGGGGAAAAATAAATCGTTTAACTAGGGATACAGGTGGACCCATTGCAACAATGAGATGTACAACTTGTTATGTCGAAAACGAACTTTACAACTTTGATGTGGGGTAGGGGGCGTGGAGGATTGGGTGGGGGGTGGGGAGAAGGATGGGAAGGGGAAACAAAGGAGGAGGCTACAATGCCTGATAAGAAATGTACTCATTATCTTGCCCATGTAATTGTAACCCCTGTGTACAGTATTTTCACACTAAAAAAAAATAAGGTCTGTCTTACAGAGTGGTAGAATTATCAAGTAAAGGCCTTTGAAACACTTAGCATATACCTGTGATATGTAAAATGTTCAGACACACTTATCACAAAGGCAAATACTGAGTTGCTTATTAAATTTGGAGGCTGGAGGAAGCATGGATACCATTGAGAACTGAGAACTTGGGTGCTTCATTCAGCAGTACTTTGCTGTAGCCAGCAGGGAGCGACATTGGCTGCATCTTGATACAGTGGCCTCCATCTTGTCTATTTCCCTCCTGTGGTCCTTGTTATGTTGTACCCCTTCCAAGAAATGGATTTCTATTACTAACTGTTCCCAGTTGGATGATCCAGTAAGCTTATCTGCAGATCATTCAAATGTCAGAGACCATCCTAGCATTTCTAGCATGCAATAGCCACTTGCTTTCAAGTCAAGCGTTAATAGTTCCTTGCTGGTAATAATGCTGGGTCATCATGGAGCCAGCATGGTATGTACTGAAGCTTGGAGCTGTTGAGACTGAATTTCAGCAGGATACTTGGCTGGTATTTCTTAATTATTGTGTTCTGCTGGAGTAGTGGGTCTAAACTAAGAGGATAGTTCCAAAACAAAATTAGATTTGTTTTGTATGTATAAGCCTGAAGGCCCAATGTTGAATTCAAAATATAAGAGGCTGTGCCCAGGGAATATCTGGAAACAATCAAGTTAAAGTGGTGATAGTAGCAAAGCCAAAAATTTTGCAAGTAGCTGCATTCCCTAAGAGAAGGCTGAGATTTCAGTCAGCAATTATCTCTGTGGCCTAGGCTGGGGACATGGGCTGGGCATTAATCTTCTCATTATTGATGGTTCTTCAGAGGTACATGAAGGGTAAAATGGAAAAGCCACACTGGAGAGATGACAGTGAGTGCATAAAATGGCATGTTTTTGGACAAATATTTTCGTTAAAGTGCATATTTAAATGTATTGAAATGAGGGAATGCTACTGTTGGTTTGAAAACTATAATACTGATTAGTTTTCAACTGTAATAATAGTTGACACAAAATATGCAACCTGCTTCCATTTCCATAATGTACCACAAGGTGGCAACCACATCAGCTGACTTAGTAAGGAAAAGTGATGAACTCAAGTTTTTTGGTAAAAATCTTGCTAAATTATCCTTATTTTTTTCCTGATCTCTTGTTTGTTTTTTTTTCTCTCCAAGAAATGGAAAGAAAACCATTTTTCTACATGTTGATATAAAGCCACTTGTATCATCTAACCTGAAAATAATTTTATTTTCTATTTTTATAGTATTTATTTATTTTTGGCCAGTTGTAAAGTTTGAACTCGGGGCCTGAGTGCTGTCCCTGAGCCTTTTTATGCTCAAGGATAGCACTTTACCACTTGAGCCACAGCGCCACTTCTGGTTTTTGAGTCCTTAATTGGAGATGAGTCTTATGAGACTTTTCTGCCCAGGCTGGCTTCGAACCATGATCCTCAGATCTCAGCCTCCTGTGTAGTTTAAGATTACAGGTGTGAGCCACCAGCGCCTGGCTTAATAATTTCATTTAGATACCAATTCTTATCACTGGAATTAGAAAGCTTATTTTATTTAGTAGAAATATAATTCAAGTAAAAATAGACCTGAACTTTCTTAGTGAAAAAACAAAAACAAAAAAGTACTTCTCCCTAATCCCCCCCCCAAAAAAAAAGCAGCTCAGGTCATGTTCCTTTATTAAAGTTTCTAGCCATGTCTTTAACTTGTCACTATTTAAATATTTTCTCTGTGGGGTGTCAGCCCAGGGAAACTTCACTAGTTACTTGGTTTTTAATTGTAACACTTGAGTTAATATTTGTCCTTGTAATTGTTCTTATTTGTATTCCTTAGTCATCAAGTCAGATTAACTGTTAGAGAGTAGAGCCACATTTCCCTATCTTATCTGATGACCAGAACTTTCAGATGTTTTAACTTTAATTTGAACTATAAATTAAAACTCCCTTTGAATTATTTTTATTACTATATAATGACTTCATTGTATGTGAGGTGTCATTTACGCATACTTTCATGTATAAAGTGAATTTAAAAAAATGTGTGAATAATAGTATTATTTCAGGAACTGGAAGCTGACTTTACACATCTGTATTATCCTCCAGTTCCAGAGGAAGGAAGGTCCCATGTCATCATGTCTTTATCAAATGGCCCCATGAGACATCATTACAAATGGCTATAAGTAAAATTTTATTTCCCAGAAGATTGCTGAACATCCTCTATTCTGCAGTCCATTTGATGGAAATAAAATTGGTCAGAAGAATTTTCTACTCACTTGGCTACCTTTAGGTTCTGTTTCCTAACCTAAAAGTACTTTTCTGTGCTTATTTTTAATTCAGTTAAAAATCAACTGGTAGAAGCCAAAAAGGTAACCTATATTGTGCTTATTTTTAAAACAGGGATCCTTAAATGGTTATTGATTTTTTTAAAGGCCTTTGAATGTTTGTTTATTTTTTTTTAATTTTCAGATTTTTGAAACTGGTTCTGGGGGCTGGGAAGTTGGCTCAGTGGTAGAGCGCTTGCCTTGCATGCATGAGGCCCTGGGTTCAATTCCTCAGCACCACATAAACAGAAAAGGCCAGAAGTGGCACTGTGGCTCAAGTGGTAGAGCGCTAGCCTTGAGCTGAAGAGCTGAGGGACAGCGCCCAGAGTTTAGGCCCCCCCCCCCGCCCCAAAAAAAAAGGGTCTGGAGAAGAGTGAATATGAATAAATGAATTTGCCTAAAATAAGTACTTGTTTCTGATGAAAATAACCTGGTATGTTCTCTTTTTTTCTCCCTTAGATTGGAATAATTGGTGGAACAGGCCTGGATGACCCAGAAATTTTAGAAGGAAGAACTGAGAAATATGTGGATACTCCATTTGGCAAGGTTAATATCCAGTTGAGGGAGGCTTGTTAGCTTTTCTCTTTCTCCTTACAGCCTTAACTTTAAGTTAGGAGAAGCAATTGCTGTAGTGTTAGCAGCCCAGGGCTCTCTGATCCAGGCATAGAAGCTGCAGCCCTGCCATTAGTTCCATCATCTGAGAAATATCTGTACTTCCCAGCTCTTGGATTGCAGTTCTTAGACTGCACTGTTTTGATAACATGGCTAGTGAATGTGTAATAGTACCTTCTCATTTTCAGTGTATATTGTTAGAAGCCAGACACTCATTTCAGACATAGCAACTGTACTCTTTAAATGTATATTCAAATCAGCTTCTGCTTCTAATTTGGAGGTTGTTTAGGGGGCAGACTGATGACTAATAGAATGAGTATCATTTTTCTGTGCTCTGGCTCAGAGGAGGAGAATCTTAGGGATCCAGAGCACAGCCAGTGTTAGTAGAATTGGAAATGAGACTCCTCTTTTCTTTGAACAGCCTAAGCCAAGAGGAGAGTGTCTGCCTACCTCTAATTCCATACTTCTAAACGTTATCATTCCTCTCGTTCTCCTAGGAAGGTCTCTACATTTGGCCATCCAACCAAACTGATGAAGTTCTTTAGTTGCCCTTTTGTCTTCCAAGACCAGTTTTTATCTCAGCCACTTCTTAGCCTTGGTTCTCTGGACCTTCCCCTGCGTATTTCAAGTCATCCCTTGGCTTGAGAACTGTCTCCCAGGCAGATAGTTCCAGTTCTGAATTCTTCACAGTACAGCATTAGCATCCTAACCTGTCAGCCTTTCATTGTCACATCTTTTCCTGAGCCTGCCAAATACTCTTGACACAACTGAATTTGATTGCTTACTATCACAGTCCCCTGGCAGTGCTTGTTACAAATAGACCCTAGTAGATGGGATTTGCACAGGCTCTGAGACAATCTTCTGCCAGTAGAAAACTTAGTAAATTTTGATGGTTGTGTTGATCAATAAAGTCTGGACTGTAAGCTATATCGCCAAACTCCAAGTTTTATGAGCCTGTTGTGGTTTAACAAGTCAAGTGACAGTTTGTTGTTGTTGTTGTTGTTTTATTGTTTTTGCATGTGGTTTAAAATCATTTTGACTTGTAACCATTTTTTATTGCATGCAGCCATCTGATGCCTTGATTTTGGGGAAGATAAAAAATGTTGATTGTGTCCTTCTTGCAAGGTAAAGTATTTTAAGCTTTTTGGATGTCACTACTAACAGAAACTGAATTTTAACAAACACTAAAATGAATAATGATGGAGTGAGGGTATTTTTTGTGCAGTCTCAGGGCTTGAACTCAGGGCCTGGGTGCTGTCCCTGACTTCTTTCTTGCTCAAAGCTAGTACTCTACCACTTGAGCCACAATGCCACTTGTGGATTTTTCTGAGTAGTTTATTGGAGATGAAAGTCTCACAGACTTTTCCTGCCAAGGCTGGCTTCAAACTACAATCTTCCTGAGTAGCTAGAATTATAGGCATGAGTCACCAGTGCTCAGATGAGGTATGAATTCTTGTGCAGTACTACAATCAGCACATTTCAGTCACTTTTTTTATTTTATGAGCAGTTTACTTGGTAAGCCAGTGACCTCATGACTAGCCCTTTCGCATTGGAAGAGTAGACCAGCTAATAAAACTGAAGCTCTGGTTCAATTTTAGCTACAAGAAGAAATTATTCCCTTTGTTCATTTTTTTTCTTCTAATTATCAAGATAAAAACAATGCTTCATCTGGGCTCTGATAGCTCATGCCTGTAATCCTAGCTACTCAGGAGGCTGAGATCTGAGGATCATAGTTCAAAGCCAGACTGGGCAAAAAAATCCTGAGACTCTTATCTCCCACTAACCACCAGAAAACCAGAAGTGACACTGTGACTCAAAGTTGTAGAGCTTTAACTATCCTTGAGCAAAAGAGCTCAGGGACAGCACCCAGGCCCTAAATTCAAGCCCCATAACTGACAAAATAATAATAAAATAAACAGTACAATAATTTATTCATAACTTTATGTGGCTGTAGTTATAAGGAAAAGCATAGGGTCCCCGAACTGGGTTATTAGTAATGTTTATCCCCTAGATAAGGCTAGTATTGTCCCCTATTACAGAGGAAGCAACCTCATTTCCATCAACCAGTTAGAAATTAGATTACATATATTAGTTTTCCATTCCTGTGTTACAAATTAGTAGCTTACCAGAGCATATGTTTTCTTATACGTCAGTGTCTGGCACAGCTTCATTGGGTCATCTGTTTGGGTCTTACAAGGTCAGGTCACTTATGGAGTTCAAGGACTTTGTTCTAACAGAATCTAGTTCATCACACTTGTAGGAGGGCCTTTGAGAGGCAGCCCCTATTTCCTGTCATGTGGCCTGTCTCCGGCAGTTGGTGAAACAGCAGCTTGTCAGAGTGAAGCCTCATCCAGAAAGGAATAGAGGGATTCATCTGGAAACGGGTTTATTTTATTTTACTTCATTTTTGTCTAGTCCTGGGACTTGAATTCAAGGCCTTAGCACTGTCCCTGAGCTTTTTTTTGCTCAAGGTTAGTGCTCTACCACTTGAGTCACAGCTCCACTTCTGGCTTTTTGGTGGTTAATTATAGATAAGAGTCTCACAGACTTTCTTTCCAGCTGCTTCCAAACCTTAATCCTCAGCCTCGAGTACCTAGGATTACAGGCATGAGCAACCAGCACCTGGCTTTGTGTTTCTGTTTTTATTACTTCATGGCCATCTCTCCTTTTCTGCCCTATGATACCTAATGTCTCACTCTGTGGTGTTCATGCCCATCAAGATACACACACACACACACACACGAGTGTGATTCCTTGGTGAGTTATTGCATGCATCAGGAAAATAAATTCATGGAATATAAAATACTTATAGACTAATTATTGCCTGACATCTGTTCCTTCTTCCTATGACAATAAAAGTGTTTTAGTGGAAAAAATCTGGAGAACATTGTAGTAGGTTACTCTTGTAATTAAAACAGCCTGATCACTTGTGTACCATTTCACTCTCCCTCAGACATGGAAGGCAGCACACCATCATGCCTTCAAAAGTCAACTACCAGGCAAACATCTGGGCTTTGAAGGAAGAGGGCTGTACTCATATCATAGTGACCACAGCTTGCGGCTCTCTGAGAGAGGAGATTCAGCCTGGTGATATCGTCGTTATTGATCAGTTCATCGACAGGTGAGCAAACACCTAACATGTGTTAGGTTGTGATAGCTGGTCATTTCAAGCTTAGAAGAAAGATGTATGAGAACCACAGAAAAGGGCAGTGCAGGATGCAGACTCATTCTCAGCTTTTTATTATACAACTTTCTAGTTTTTAATGTTTTTTACATAGTAATTTTATAGACTGATGGGTACAGTTTGATACTTTGATACATGTGTGCATTGCACAATGATTATTAATGATTGATAAGCTAAAGAAATTATCTCACTTGGCTGGGAAGGTGGCTCAGTGGTAGAGTGCTTGCCTTGCATGCCTGAGGCCCTGGGTTCAATTCCTCAGCACCACATAAGTAAAAAGGAAAAAGCCAGAAGTGGCGCTGTGGCTCAAGTGGTAGAGCGCTAGCCTTGAGCTGAAGAGCTGAGGGACAGTGCCCAGGCCCAGAGTTCAGGCCCCACGACTGGACCAAAAAAATAAAATAAACAAGAAATTATCTCACTTAAGCAATTTTTGAGATTTACATTCTGAGCAGTTTTGATATGCATTCTAAATCACCATTAGCTAATCATAGTATTGTACAATAAATCTCAGAAACATTCCTCCTATGCAACTGTAATATGATGTCATTTGTCCAACATCTCTAACTTCCCGTAAATAACCATTTTACTCCCTACTTCTATGAGCCTGACTTTAATTTCCACATAGAAGTGCAGCCTTTGTATCTGGCTTGATTCACATAGTTTTTATCACAAATGATAGTTGTCTTTTTTATGGTTGAATAGTATTCCAATGTCCATCCATTCCTGATGAATACCTACACTGATTACATGTTCTGCCTCTCATGAATAGTGCTGCTGTGGACATCTCTTCCACACCTTGATGTCATTTCCCTTGGGATATGCTTAGAGGTTGCACTGCTCCCTACCCTTTACTCCAATGATGTATGACTTTGCGTACCTACCAGCAATGTGCAGGTTTTCTCATTTCTACACATCCTCACTTACCTTTTGCCTTTTTGGTAGTAGCCATTGTAACAGGTGTAAAGATGGTAGCTTATTTTAATTTTAATTTGCATTTCCCCAATGATTAGTGATATTAAGCATTTTTTGTCTATCTCTTGGCCAGTTTTATGCTGGGTGTGTGTGTGTGTGTGTGTGTGTGCGTGCGCATGTGCACGTGTGTGTGTGCACGTGTGTGTGTGTGCACGCGTGCCCGTACCCCACATGCGCATGTGCCCATACATATGTGCTTTCATATGTGGGTGCATGTTTGTGCCCCGGTCCTACTACTTGAACTAGGGGACTGGGTGCTGTCTTTGAGCTTTGGCTAGCATTCTACCACTTGAGCCACAACACAACTTCTGGCTTTTTGGTAGTTAATTGTATCCAAGAGTCTTTTGGCCTTTCTTACCAAGGCTGACTTTGAACTGCAATCCCCAGATCCCAGCCTCCTGTGTGTGAAGTTAGGATTGCAGGCATGGGCTCATGGTATCTGGTTTTTATGCTATCTTTTGAGGAATATTTCTTCATGGCCTTTGCCTCTTTTTTTAATGCTGGACCTAGGGCTTGAACTCAGAGCCTGGGTGCTGTCCCAAAGCTTTTGCTCAAGGCTAGCAGTCTACCATTTGAGCCACAGTGCTACTTTCTGAAGAGGCAGAAGATAAAAATCACAAACTTTCCTGCCTAGCCTGGCTTCAAACCACAATCCTCAGATTTCAGCCTCCTGAGTAGCTAGGATTACAGGCATGAGTCACTAGTGTAATGCTCCTTTGCCACTTTTTTTTTTGTCGGTCATGGGGCTTGAACTCTGGGCCTGGGCACTGTCTCTCAGGTCTTCAGCTCAAAGCTAGCACTCTACCACTTGACCCACAGCACTACTTCCAGTTTTCTGGTGGTTTATTGGAGTTAAGAGTCTCACGGACTTTTCCTGCCCGGCTGGCTTTGAACTGTGATCCTCAGATCTCAGCCTCCTGACTAGCTAGAATTACAGGTGTGAGCCTTTGCCACTTTTTTAATTTGGCTATTTTCTTTCTATTTAGTTGAGTTATGTATATACTTTTAATATTATCCAAATCCACAATTTGCTTATGCTTTTACCTAGCTTTTACCTATGCTTTGTCCCTTTATAATGTCAGACTTTTTTAACATGTGTAACTTTTTTTAAAGTATAAATTAGTATTTCCTTAATTGTTAGGTATCTGGGCTTTCCTTTTTTCCCTTTTGTGTCACAAACCTTTTTTGTATTTCACATAGTTGATTTTGGTTTTTCAAAAAGGGGCACAGAGATATAGACTACTTTTTACCATATACTTGTACTTAAAAAACCTTCTAGTCTAAAGATTTTTTTCCACTTTTTTCCTCTTTTCTCCCCTCATTCTGAGTTCTATTGACTGCATAATTAAACATCCAGTGCCTTCCTGTCCCTTGTGTTTTCTGTGAACTAAAATCTAGCTCTGCTCAAAACCAGGTATAAACCTTCCTCCTGCCTTGTATCTGGCACATGGTATCAATTCTTTTTTCACAGTATTAAGATCATTGTTGTTGTTATTTAATTGTTTTATCTACTTCTTATCTTTTGGACTCAGTTACTGAAGACTTACTTAAGAACTTTGGGAAAAGTCTTATTGTCTTGCTTTTTCATATTTTTAGTGTTTTTGTGTTGGAATTTGTTCATCTTTTGAGATGGATGTCTCTTATGCTTTTAAGTGAGGATCTACTTAGTAAGCAGACTTCTTTTAAGAGTTTAATCTACTATACAATTCAGTAAGGAGAAAACAATCCACACTAACAAGCACACACACACACCAAAAAAAAGATGTATAGAAATAGGATTTTTTAAATAATAGAAGATGGCAAAAGGAAAGAATATGAAATAAAGATTTGAAGAAAAATAGTGGGGGAAAGTACAATAAAGCAAATGTGAATTGTTTTTTAAGTCAAAAAAGTCCACCACATTGAAGAGATGGAGACACTTCTTTCCCAGGCTCAGTCATGGGTGGGACAAAGTGATGTTTCTTCTCAGATCCAGTCAGACAAGTCAAACCAGATGGGGCCTTTAGAAGTTGAGCCCGTCCCTCCCTGTCTTGCCTGCCAGGCCTTGCCTGCCTCCCTTCCAGCCACTATGAGCTCAGCATGATTGTTGCAGTGCTATATTTATATCAGTGAAGGAAATCTCACTTGGTTGAGTTATATAACTCAGGCATTTATCACTATGCCCATAGGTGTGCCCAAGCAGTGACAGTATATCCTCTAGATGTCTCCCAGTTTCTATTTGTGAAAAGGGCAACCAAAATGTGTGAAGAGGGCAACAAAAGCAGGCTGTGTTGGACAGTTGAGCCATGGACAATGAGTGATCTTATTAGCCCTGGCCAGGCCAACCTCTGTCTTAATCTGTGCCTTTAGTCTGTATCTCTGTACCTTCATTGATGCCAAAAATTGGTGTGTTTTGTCTCTCAACCATATTCCATAGGTCCTAAACATTGTACGAGTGCTTTTTTCTTTATTAAGTATGAATGTAATAATCAACCTTGTTTTAAGGTCCTTATGTTCTGCCTTTTTAAAAAAAAATTATTGTAAAGATGATGAACAGGGGGTTATAGTTATATAAGGTAATGAGTATATTTCTTATTAAACACTATTACCCCCTCCCTCATTTTCCATTCCCCTCCCCTCTTCCCCTTCAAGTTGTAAAGTCCATTTGCAACATAGTATCATTGTTGTATCATTGTTGCATTAGTAGTTCATCCTTTGTCCTGTTGTTTCTGTGATTCCCTTTCCCTTCCAGGGATCAGATAAGCTTATATACAAGATAGGGTATGTAAAGGGTACAGAAAACTAAAACAGAAAGAAAAAAAAGAGAAGTAACTATATACATGACATAGAACCTCTTGTTTCCAATTCTTGGAGCTCATTTTGATATGCTTCATTATATATAGTTCTATGCTCTTAGCAATTGGACTATTATGATCCACTGCTAAGTATATCATAGACATATTCTAGTTATTACAAATGAGGGAAATCATGCAACCTATATTTCATTTTCCAGGTCTTTCCATTTCCTTATGAATGAGGCAATGTCATTCTTTCTGTTGGAAGCATAGAACTCCATTGTGTACATATACCACATCTTAGTCCATTCCTCTTCCTAGGGGCATCTGGGTTGGTTCCATATCTTAGCTATGGTAAATAGTGCTGCAATGAACATGGTTATACTGGTAGCTTTAGTATGGCCTTGTTTGTGGTCATTTGTAAATGCCCGGGGGTAGGATTACTGGGTCAGAGGAGAACTCTATGTTTAGTTGTTTGAGGAACCACCATACTGCTTTCTAATTGATCTAGTCCATTTTGGATACTTTTCACTGAGCATTCATACAAATCTATATATAGCTCCTTTCTCAGAGATGAAGCTGCCACTTGAGTGGAAGTGTTTTCCATTTCCCTTTGTATTACAGACCATGCTTCCCACATGTAGATGTGTGTCTGCAGTTTACAGATTCCTGGTCTCAAGTGGCTCTCAGTGTGGCCCAATGGGACTAATAATAATGCAGACTCTACGTTTGTAGACCTTCCCAGCCTTTCTTTCTCTTTTGTTTATGGCCCTATTAAAGGAGATCTTCCCAAGTCTCCATTCTGCAGTCCAGTATTTCTGAGATTAGAGTAGACCTCTTAGATCACGAGGCCTAGTAGTCAATACCAGGGAATATGATTTATATATTATCGTAATTAAAATTTGGAGAATATTGTCTAAAGATAAGATTTTAGGGAGTCAAAGAAATTGATGTCTTAGTTCCTCTGCCTTCAAGCCTAGATGCTCAAGGGAGAAGAGTTATAGCCATCAGAATTTACCATGATGAGGGGCTGGGAAGGTGGCTCAGTGGTAGAGCGCTTGCCTTGCATGCCTGAGGCCTTGGGTTCGAGTCCTCAGCACCACATAAGCAAAAAGAAAAAAGCCGGAAGTGGCGCTATGGCTCAAGTGGTAGAGCGCTAGCCTTGAGCTGAAGAGCTGAGGGACAGCGCCC